GGCCCGGCCGGCCACGGCCAGGCTGTGCGACCCACCCAGTCTCTGACCGACCACGGAAGGCTCCGTCTCCTCCCTTTCCCCGTCCAGTTCCGTCTTCCTCCCCAGCGGCCGGCAGCTAGGCGGTTGCTCTCCCCTCTCCCTTCCTCCGCAATCCTCCCCTCGATCTCGTCGGAGCGGGCGGAGATCGGGCCGCGGCGATGACGGTGATCGACATCCTCACGCGGGTGGACGCCATCTGCCAGAAGTACGACAAGTACGACGCCGAGAAGCTCAACGGCGCCAACGTCGCCGGCGAGGACCCCTTCGCCCGCCTCTACGGCTCCGTCGACGCCGAGATCTCCCAGTGCGTCGAGGTACCCCGCGCCTACTCTCGCTCCCCCCGCTCGTGCTCCACCGGGTGCGCGTTGCCCCGCGCGGCGATCTGAATCTGATAGGGTTGTTGCTGTTGCAGAAAGCGGAGGCGGCGAGGCAGGAGAAGAACCGGGCCACGGTCGTCGCGCTCAACGCCGAGATCCGCCGCGCCAAGGCCAAGCTCCTCGAGGAGGACCTGCCCAAGCTGCAGCGCCTCGCGCTCAAGAAGGTTCGTCCGATCATCTCTGCGCTGACCCGCTAGATCTGCTTCTTCTGTGGCCGCTAGGACTCGCTATCCATGTTGTTTACTGGCAGCAAAAGAGGCCAGCTTACCTTGAAGGAGACTGCCTAAATTTAGGGTGCGCGGTTGTTGAATGTCAACGGAAAAAATGAAGCAATTTCTGTGTCAGCGAGGTGATTTGCTGGATCACCTGGTGCAGTTTAGAATCGATGGGACTGGCATTTTTTGCAGAATTTGTGGGAAAGTATGTTTATGATTTTATAGGATTGGTAGGGTGATGTTTATATGCTGATTATATAGATGGAATTCTAAGCATATGTTGGAGAAATTGAAGGTCTTGTATGTTGCAATGTACTTCCATTTAGTTGTTAGTATAGATGATGCCTAGACTTATTTACATCAATGCCCAGTTCTTTTGCATATGACCAGTATAAACAATATGGAGTCTCAACATTATCTTCTGCTGCTTGCCTTTTCTTTCAAATGCACTATTTATTTGAACTAGACAAGCGTGCTATTGTTGATATCAAACAATTCTATCTATTGCTGCTGTTGTCTTGGAGCTTAAGTACGCCTTACCTTGTCCCATCCTTTTTTTGTTCAACTTAGCATTTAAGTAACATTGAGTATTGACTTGATATGCATATTAGCTGCATATATTGAGTTTGGTAACATGCTTTCCTTGGTCATGCATATCTCTGCGCTAGTATATGAGAGGATATGCATGAGCAGTTGAGCACTGAGCAAACTATTTGGTCGTGGTTTTACTTTTACACTTGTTTTTTCTACTTTCAATTTCTTCTAGCACCTGCCTCCATATTATTCAATGTTTTGTTCTGCATAGTTTGGATAGCATGTACTTTGCCCATTTGATTTAATTAGTTTTCGATAAACAATCCATTTAGAATTTGGCAATATTAGTTCCGATGTTGTTCTGCATTGAGACGCAAAGTTTTTGTGTTTTCCTTAGAGAAAAAATCTGACTATTTTCTGCATTTGTTGTAACAGGTCAAAGGGCTCACAAAGGAGGAACTTGCTACCCGTAGTGATCTGGTTGCCGCCTTGCCTGATAGAATTCAATCAATACCGGATGGTAGTTCTAGTGCGACAAAGAAAAATGGAGGTTGGGGAGCCTCAGGATCCCGTCCTGGTGGAGGCGTCAAGTTTGACTCTACTTCTGGTTAGTGATCATTATTTATGGTATCACCTAAGTCATCGCTATGCATTGGCTTTGGAATGATCTGGCCAAGTCCCCCTTTCCCCGTGTGCATTGCATGTTCAGATCTACACTAAGCAGCTTCATTTTGTGTGCATTAGCTTAATTCATAATTTATCATGCTGGTGTAAAAAAGAGTTCTCCTTTTTGAGGGATTCTGAAATTAAGCTTGTTGTTTCATATAAATGTTCATCTAGTTGCTGTGAGTGTATCCTCATCTTAAGGTTAACATTGTTCTGTGCCAAATTAGGCCAATTTCAATTTCCATGTGCACATGTTCCTTCATTGTTTTAGCACACAACTCTGCTTTCTGTATTAGCATTAGATGGACAAAATATGTTGGCACTGTAAATTTGAATTGAACATGCATTCCACCATGCATAAAGTTGGTTGAGCAATGTACATTGTGTCTGTTTCCTCATCATCTCTGGCATGGCCTGTTAGATGCCCTTCTTAAATTTACTCTTATCCTCCTGAGGGTCACGAGCTGAACCTTTTAGTTTTCTCTTGCCACGACACACACAGATGGAAACTTTGATGATGAGTACTTTAAGGGGACTGAAGAATCAAATAAATTTCGTCAGGAATATGAGATGCGTAGAATGAAGCAGGTAAGGTTTTGATTCACCAATCTAATGTTTTTCTTCTGTTCGTTTTGTGCTTCCACTGGATACTAACCAGACCTCATTTTTGCAATGATATTCTGCAGGATGAAGGTTTGGATGTTATTGGTGAAGGGCTGGCAACTCTGAAGAACATGGCATCGGATATGAATGAGGTTGCGTCCTGTGCTTCTTTTCGATTTATACGCTGATTATGTGTAACATACTAATTGTTGTGATCATCAGGAATTGGATAGGCAAGTTCCCTTGATGGATGAAATGGATGACAAGGTGAGTTCTCTGGCCACCGTCATTTTTGATATTTCTTCTGACAGGCGTCTCGGCAATGCTTAATGTCTGGTAAAACGATAAATGCAGGTGGATAGAGCCAATGCAGATCTGAAGAATACCAACGTGAGGCTAAAGCAGACCATTCTTCAGGTAAAAGTTCACTCCTCTCCCTGTACTTTCCTTGACTGATGCTTTGGGAGATTGGTGAGCTCATGCATGCATGTTTCTCCTCTTTGGATTGTTGTCAGATGAGATCCAGTCGCAACTTCTGCGTCGACATTATCCTGCTCTGTATCATACTTGGTATCGCTGCCTACCTTTACAAGTAAGTATTTCCTTTGCCAAGCAACCACTCCAGTGGACATTCTCCTTCACTTTTTAACTAGCCTGAATTTGGACCGGCCGATGAATGAAAGATATAGTATTACCTCATATTTCTTTACTCGCTTGCTTGATGGTTACCACATCCATCTTGTTTAAATCACACTGCCCTGTTTGACCTTTCTAATGGTTTTGCTCCATGCTGTTTTTATTGTGTCGCAGTGTGCTTAAGAAGTGAGTGAGGTGCAACGGTGTGCTCATGTCGCGGTCTGTAGTGGTCTTGCATTGGATTCTCTACTTGTCATGTCCTGCTGTGATGGGTTTCAAACGTGTGCCACGAGTAATTCGTTTCGTCTCATCTGTGTAACATCATGGTGTTACATTATTATTATGCTTGTTGAAGCAGTGATGATTATATGTGTGTTGACCTGATGTCTGATTGTATGTATATTCGGGAGTAAACTGCTTAGTGAGAGTACAAACGCCATTCTTTTGTTCTAAATCTGTCTATGTATAGCTGCATTTCCTCAGGCCTTTCTTTGAGTGGCATAAATAACTCACGGGTCACAGTTAGCCCCCTGCGTGTCGTGTTGGCTTGACTGGCATGGGTACAAATCCAAAGGCTAAACATGCATGCGTTTCTTCCAACATAAAAGTGTTACCTACATACGTGTGATTTTTGCATTATACTATGACAACAATGGCCTTGCGTTCTACGAGCAGAAGGCGAGGAATACCATGATCATGTTACACGAGTGCTGAAGATTTAAGTTTTAATGATCAATTTTTTTTTACGACCAATTCATCCAACACGGGCAGTTTTCCTTGAAAGTGGAGTTGTCAAAGATGATTTAAGCCTAAGATTAGAACTTAATTGCATTGGACAGAAAGGGTTTTAGGATTTTATGCTTAGTGGGAGCTGCCATTGCCAGAGTTGATGTGAGGTCTCACGCCTCCTTGATGTAGGCATGATGTAGCGTCAATGTAGATGCTCGGTGCAGATACCCACGGCCAATGTGGAAAATATTCTCCAACGTATGGTATATGATTTTAGGGTGAGTAACATATGGGACAGCTTCTTGTGCGACCCATATGTCACAAACCACAAATTCAGGTGATCAAGTCGAGGATCTCAACCTCACCAGCACTGCCCTGCCAAGTCACGGGCAACGAGACAGGAGATTATATTTCGATTCCCTATTTCTACAAGATTGAGCCAAATTTGTGTTAAGGCCTAAATATGTGAATTATTTCTTAAATAAAAGTGAATTATTTGGGGAGCAAAAATATTAATAAACCGTCCAGGATTAAGCAAAATTTCCTAAATGCACTTCCTCGTCTATCCATATCCATTCCGTATAGGAGGATTCACCACATCTTACACATCTCGCAGCTCAAACCGTTCACCCCTAATTACTCGCCGGTGTTCTCCGAGCTGCCCAAGATTACATGCAAGCGAAAAGAGTGACAAATAACCAATATAATATACCTATTTATTATAAAATTTGTTAAAGCTGGTGGATATTTCTAGGTCATTCAGAACATAAATTGCTCTGCTCCTTGCTAATGGATATTATGCTAACATTGATCTGCTCCGATGGCACTTTTTTTTGAGGAACTGTTTGCTGTTTGGCTTGGATACAGATTGGTACAGTTACACACTAAGAAAGTGCAGCCTAATTTTACCAGGTTTTCTGATTCAAAGTTCGTTCGTCGTTCTTAATGCACAGTTTGCAAACTCCTCAGCAATGCTAATTAAGAAGCACATAGTTTGCTACTCTTGATCTAGATACATCCGTTGTTTGAGTGTCAACTAAGTCCGTCCGCACGGAGGGAGTAAGGAGAATTTCTGCGCATGAGATAGTGAGCCGCAGAATATATTTTATTAATAGCGAGTCTGATAATGCAGTTCAGAGATTTGACAAAGAACAACATGCAACATCCAGAAATTCTACTACAATCTTGAGCATACTGGAAACCTAGCTAACAGCTTGGCCATTTTTCCAACCATTTGCCAAGGCAGAGCCAGCCCAGTATGCAGGGGGTGCTGATTCTTAAGAATGCAGTATCACTGTTAGTACAGGCTGAAAGTAAATTCAAACCAGTTGGAGTTGGACTGGCTGACTCTGCAGGGCTCCACCATGACAAACCTAGTTTGCTTCGGAATACTTGAACCCATACTTCTTAAAATACTCTCGAAATCCATACACGCTCTGGTCATAGTTGAACTGCATGCACACAAGGAAATAGCATCACATCAGCTCAACCTGGAAACTATGAACCGAACCTCTATACAGCAGTAGACTTGACAAGCAAGTGACTAATGCATGAATATTTTCAAAGGACGCTTCAGGGCATTGCTTACAGGTAGGACTTTTGCGGAGTATTTCGTGATGCTCGGATCCACGATCTTACCTGGGTTAGCAGCCTGAAAAAATGCAGAGCATGCTGTTACCAGGATAAAATTGACAATAAAGCACATTCATGTGTAGGTGCAGATAACACGATGAGCAAGTAAATAAGGAAGAAAGAAATAAAGGAATTGAAACCAAATTCATTCTGGGGAAACGGTGCAGATGCCTAGCCATGAAACAATGGGAACACATTAACCACGGCTAAGCAAATAATAACTAGAAACGGTACCGACGCCATTCACGCTCAACAAAAAACAAACCAACCATACTTGAGCAAGTTAGCAGAGCAGATCCTTCTCCAATACGGAAATGAGATGCAAATGAAAACACTAATCCCTGGTCTGACAAAGAACACGACGAATCTCTAGATTGAGCCACATAATACACACATTTCCTGAAAACCTAGTCTACTCTCCCCCAAAACACGATCAGTGCTTCTCTGGTATACCTGGAATTAAATTGCGCAAATATTGGAGCGGTGTAGTGTTGTAATCGTGGATGCAAATCAGACCGCAATACAATATGTGCTTCACTCTTCCACCCTTACGAGGACCATGAGAGCACATAATACAGAAACTGTCCTTGAATTTCCCTCAAAGTAGGGCATATGACTTCCAAAATGCTAAAGGTAACATGCAGAAAGAAGTTGGACCCTTTAACGATTCTCCAGCCATTAGCACACATAAGGATTAAGAAACTTATAATTCTTTAGCCACAAAGATTAAGAAAAGAAATATAAGATCAAGAATCAAGATTGTTGACAAAAATGTAAGTGGCACATAATTCAAAGTAAAGAAGTGGCAACATGTGTTAACCGATGTAAGGTAAAGTAAACAATCATAACCTGTTCTGGGTTGTAAAATACTTCAAGAAATGGATACTCAGTCTTTTGCCTCGTGAGGCAAAACCCAGGATACTTTGGGCATTCCACCTGACAACATAGAACAAAATAATAATTCCTATCAGTTCGAGACTAAAGGCAAACAGGATGGCAGCAGTCGTAATTTGTATAGATGGGAAGCAAGAAGCCACAAATTTGAAGCATAGTGTATCATGATATTACCCAAGTTAAAAGCATCCAAATGAGAAGGAAATCAAAAGTGACAAGTCTGATTTGACAGGCAGCCAATTAAACTATCCTGTGACTAATTGATCGTATCTTTGTACATCATAATATCTACAATTGACAAAATAATAAAAGTACAACTATTTTTTAGAAAAGACAAGTACAACTATTCACACATCTAAGCTTCCCATAGAGCTGCTTCTCTTGCAAGTGAAAGAAAAGGCTAGAAAAGATCATCAAAGATGCATTCACAAAACAAAGAGCTTCCACACGTGTGCCTGAAGCTCAACAGAAGACTGAAATTGGTGAACTTTATAATGCATGCTGAATTAGATTAATCTTGCGATCATCGCCAAAGGTAGTATTATATTAGGTGTCTACAAATTAAATCAGATAGGACTAACTTCAAGGTTTTGAATTTTAACATGCAGTTAAGACAGCAAACCAACCTTTACAATATTCCATAATAGCGAGCCATGATAATTTGAACAGAAAAAAGCAGAGTGCATTAAAGTTTTCAAAATAACTAATCATCTTAAGTGACCCGAAAATACTTATGGCATATTTTTTGCGGGCGTAATAAGAGTAGTGGCTTACCCGAACAAACGTTATATGAGGATAAAATGTAGCAGCAGCTTCCTCCAGTACTTTGTCAAGATGCTGTGTATAAGTGCACCTACAAAAGCATTTCATTACTGTTGTAAGCATGTGCAAAGCTATTGACATAGGACAACTTAACTATTCTTGTGTTTCTGAACAGAAAACATGAGACTGACATACTTAATGGTAAAGGCCGCAACTACAGGCCGTCCTTCATGTAATAGCTGCACAAACTGACGCTCTGATGTGAACGGTATGATTCTTGATGGCCCTAGATCCTTGGGATATCCAGTGTAGTACCTTCAACAACAAGATGATTCAAACATAATAAAATAGTGATACAGCCAAAAAACGGGAAATGAGTTAAATTCTACTATTTGTAAAGCTGGGAGAGCGAACAATGCCTGCCAGACAGTGTGCAAACAATGACTTCTGGAGTTAGTGCAAGCAACAAGCTACAGGTTTTATAACCGTCTTTAGAGCAATGATATTCATAAACAAAAACTGCTTGCACGCACTGGTGAATAAAGTCTCAAGGGAAGGTTTAGCTCGTTCATGCTGAAGACAAAAACAGAATTAGATAGATATACAAAGGATGTAATGAGTTTGTTGCACACATCTCACTACATACCCTACATATCGGAAGATATTCTATCCACATATGTTACATCTTTTCTATATCACAGTAACAGGATTAATCCAAAGCTGTCTTGTCAATAATAAATTAATTATACACTAAGAGAATGCCTACAAGTGACTATAGAATTCATCCTGCCTAATTGAAATAGTCACGAACCACCATCTAAGATTAAGATGACATGTTCAACTTCTTCAACAATCTAAATAGTGTAAATGCATGAGCACTAACATTTTACTATTAGTTTTGCACTCTTCAGCATACCATCTATCACCAGTTGTACTGGAATACTTGGCATGCTAAAGAGACTATGTATCACTTCCAAAATGGGATTAATGAGATGAATGACGCCACTTTCGCTGTACTCGGTCTATGCAAGCACGCTATTTTCCAAAATAAAAAGGGTCAAATCACCTGAAGTGGAATCTATATGTTCTGCTGAAAAACGTACAGGCCAAGATGTACGGAAATAGAACTAAAAGGTAGGATTGAGGGATGTGGAGGTTTTCCTCACTTGGATG